GCATAAAAATAATTTCGTTTGTTTGATATATATGTCATACATGTTACTTGTCTATGATAATTATAGATATCTAATATTAATCCAAAAACTTGTACCCAATAAAAAATAGGTTGTGGTTACCTAAACAGAAAGGTACGTTTACTTTGCAATTATATTAAAAGGAAAAAGAAAAACTAAACATGTTTAGAGCACAGTGTTTGTGACATGATTATTCAAAATAAAGTGAAATAGGGCAAATCCATGCCAGCTTCAATTCCAATTCCAAGGCATATTATAAATCAAAGAGATGCATGGCATAAGCGATAAATTCATTGAAATAGGGATAATCCACTTGAGGGGTCACCTTCATCTTAATGGATGTGAAAAGGCAAGCGATGCGATCGATAATACAACTTTGATGGGCCTCCAATTGTTCTATAGATTAATTGACTTTAGGTACTTTTGTGGACCATGGTTAACCATGATATTTTAGCCACCATGCAAAAGCAAGTTATTGCATTGGTTGGATAAGGGTTTGAGTCACATCCATTATAGTGACATTTCGAAGATAGACACTCTCTAGCTAGTTTTAAAAGATAAGAAAGCTAGTGATAGCTCTTACCATAATCAATAGTAAATTCTTTAAAAGTAGCTTCTTTTAAACAAAAGATAAGAAACCACATTCCCTATAATGATCAATAAAGTTCTTTTTAGGTGAATTCATATTTTTAGTGACACCATGATTACTTCAAATATTATTCTTGCTCTCATACAAAGTCAATAATCGATGTAAACTTTTGAAATTTCTACCATATATGCTTGCACCAACTGGTTTCACCATTATGTTAGGCCTTTAGATGATTAGTAATTTTTTTTTAATTAATCTAAAACATTTTTCATTCATGGTGGTCTTAATTTTTTAATATTATATTTTTCCCGTGTTGTACTATACAGGGACAGACCCAGAAATTAATTTTAAAGGAGATAAACTTAAAATAATATAATATAAAATAAAGAAAAATAAACAAATGGGGTCAAATCTAGAAATATAACCAATATAGAGTGATCAAAGCAAATTAATGAAAATTGCTACATGACTTGTCTATTTCAATAAATTTATCTACATGTATTTATTTACAATTTGTTCTTAATCATAGATAATTTAATTGCCAAGCATATTGGAAAACATAGACAATAGCCAAAACAGCGTGCATCTCAAGTCTGTGTAAAAATTAATTGGCAATTATAAATTAAATTATTAATAGGCGCATCTAATCATATGTAATAGAAATATTATTAGAAGTGAGAGTGATAGTGCAATTTAATTAATTTATCTAAACTAGCCAAAGTACAAAAGAGTCTTGGTACCCATCATCGCTATATGTCTAGATTTAGCAGTTACATGTATAAATTAATCAATAGAGTTGATACCTTTTAGTCCCTCCTTTCAATCAATTTCCTTCATCCCTTTTTCATTAGTTAGTTGATAAGATGGCTGTTTTAACATAAGATATAATAATAATAGTTAATATAAGTGAAAGCACACACTTGTCATCCCAGTTTTAAGTTTAATCCAACCCCCACTTATATCTATTTTCCTTTATTCCAATTGAATTTATCCACCATTTGCTTTTCCATGCAATAACTTGTTCCTCAGTATATGTAGTTTAAAATCTTTGTACCTCCTGATGGTTGGCAACAACGTTTGGTAGGGTCGGGTATCAGGGGCGGAGCCAGAAATACTTTGCCGGTGGGGTCGGAATATAACGAGTAAATGACAAGCCAGAAAGTAATTATGAAGTAACACTTACGGGTTTAAATCATGTTAATTTATAAGATAAAATTTAAGTTTAAGATTGTTTATTTTATTTTTATCTATTTTATAATAATCAACTATTATTCCAATACTTCTCAAGAGTATTATAATTATAAATTATTTTATTTTATTTTTCATTTGAGAAAAATGTTTTACAATTTTTGGGAAAGGGCTTGGGTGGGTTTTGCCTCCTTCATGCTGGGATTACTGCCTTGCCTAGAAAATTGCCAACCCTATGCCTTGTCTAAAATCCATCTATTTGCATAATTTAATATAATTATATAAACCCTATATTTTAGAAAACAAAATTCATTAAGAAATTAACAACAAATTAAATTTCTATTTCTGTAAATAAAATAAATTAATATCTATAGCAATTAGCAGTTTAAGCAATTACATGACTTTTGATTAAACTTTTAGATTATGAAGAGTCAAGAGTTGCATGGGAGAGTCTTTGTCTGTCTATTATCTTTGTGGAAAAATTCAGTACAAGAATCTTCATTAATTAAGGCCAGCCACTGAAGTATGAAAACCTAATGGCCATATAATAAGTCAAGAAAATTAAATGTGAGAGTTAACTTAGGGTTAAAACTGCAACAAGTCATTAAAGGGTTCAAATTGGTTGAAGTTTTCGCACTCTGATTAAACTTCTATTTCAAGCTCAGCATTTCTTGTATGTCTTAAAAAATCTAATAACATGAGAAAATCGTGTTCTAGTCTGATGTCATCATTTTTACAAATTTAATTTGAAATTGTGTGTGTGTTTTTTTTAAATAGCATATGCAATGAAAGTAGGCCAAGTGGTTGGTTTTAAAATTCATAAAGCATAGTTGATTGAATAAAAATAAAAATAAAACCAATTGAATTTGAATTTGAAAAAGGAAAACATTGTTTAGTTTACATTAATCAATAATATTAAAAATAGAAGTTTTATGTACACAAAAAGTTTTTTATCTTATTACATAATAATGACTCTGTTTACAAATCTGGTTTATGCGTACTCTCCTAAGTAATTAATTATAGCAAAATAGGGATATATATTTAATAATAAACACTTTTCTCGTTTCATCAGATTCTTTTTCTTTTATTATTATTTGAAGCAATTTTTGGTTTGATTAAAAACACAAACAAAAATTATTACTCAACTGGCTTATTGATGTCAAATCAGATCTAACGTCAGTCTCAGGATTAAATAAAAATATTTAGTAAAATATATCAAGTCTACGTGTCAGATTTTTCTCCCTATTTTTTATTTTATTTTTTTATTCTAACATTATATGGTCAATCCTTGCCCAGTGCCACTAAAGAAAACAAATTGCTGTAGCTTTAAACACTCCACCTGTATTATTTACTACCAATAAAAAAACAAATATCTTAGGAAACAATTCAAGTTCAACAATGACGCGTTTCTCTACAAGTGTGTCGTATACTTCGGCAGTGTATATTTATAGGTAATTTTCGACCATACTAGAAAATTTATCGCAGTAATTTTTTTTTCTTGAAACATAAAAAATAAAAAAATTTCAAACTTTATTAGTAGCAAGTGCTTATCTTAAGACTTATGATAAAACCAAAAAATCCAACCAATTACATATATATAATTACTTAATATTGTTGGAATCTAACATCGACTAAACACTCTCAAGCATACTGGTTTATAAGTGAGGGTAATCCTTCTATTTAATAATGTCTTATTGAGTGAGGAGTCAGACTTAGTTCAAATTCTATCAAAACTTTATTGGGTAAGGAGTTAGACCCATTTCAAATTCTATCATGGTGTCAAAGTGAAGTCTTCTTCAAATTTTATCATAGTACCAAAGCTAGACTCAGTTAAGCTGAATGTTTGACCAGCGGGTGAGAGAGGAGTTAGAGTCAGCAACTACCTTCATCAATAGACATGACCCAACATATGGGATTGACCGTGAGGGAGAGTATTGGAGTCTCACATCGACTAGGCCGTGAGGGGCAGTGTTGGTCCCACACCGACTAGGCATGACCTTGACCGTGAGGGGGAGTATCCTCCATCAACAGACATGACCCAACATATGAACTTGATTATGAGGGGAGTGTTGGAGTCTCACACAGACTAGATATGCTCAAACCTATTAGTTTAAGATCTTATTGGGTGAAAAGTCATGCCACCTCAAATTCTATCCAATATACTTCAAAAGTGAATAAGACAAACAATATTGTCCATCAATTACGCATGAAACATCTAGCCAGCCGATCTAATAAGGTCATTGTAGATTTTGTTTTCTTCATTTTCTGGCTCTGGGTTCTTCAGCAATCCTTCTCAGGTAAAGAATTAATGAATTAAGATAGCTAAGCCTTGTCACTTAAATACGTTCATATCTACACCTACGAATTCTTAAATACAAACAAAATTGGTGTAAGTGTTCTGATTTTCATTTTTTAAATTTAGACCTTATTCCTGATGACAAAATTATTGTAGAAAACAAAATTCTAACCCCTTATCTTACATTAGGAATATAAAACTTTATCACTTTTTTGTACACAATATCTTAGAGAATAAAATTAAGTTATCATAATAAATGAATAATTTATATTCAATAAAATAATTTTTCATATAATCCTTCAATTATAACAAAGTTCAAACATTGAGTTTACTTTTACGTGTGGGTAGGTTACTATTCAACGCGTACATGAAAACAAATACAATAATACTATACTTACAAAGAAATCTTACAAAGAAATCTTACAAAGATTTATGTACAAAGTGAGGTGGTAAAAAATAAATAGAAGATTGAAACAAAAAGTCAAGCTCATTAAATTCATTTTTTCATTCATATTTTACCACATCACTTTGTATGAAGATCTTTGTAAAATTTCTTTGTAAATATAATATTACTCAAACAAATTATAAAGCGGCAGTTTTGAGTTTTCATGATAAAATAAAAGATAGAAATAAAAAAAGTGGTGTGAATGACAATGATAAATGATTGCATGTTAAATTGTAAGTTTTTAATATTTTATCTAGGAAACAACTTTTTGGATTATGGTATTTTTGGTGTTTAGAGTGCTTTATCTTCCAACTCTCGCATCCAACCACATAAATTAAAATAAAAGAAGATAATAAACAATAGTAATAAGAAAACAAAATAATGAGAAAAAAGTAGATGCAAGACAAAGAGATATTTATATAAAGTTGTAAAAGCCAAGGGCCTTCGCCAACCTCTCTCTCTCTTCTTACTCTCGATTATTAAGCCTTTGGTGGAATTAGACGTTTCCTCGTTTATTATCAGCTGTCCCACATTCCATTGCAGTTTTTTAAGTTTTTTTTTTTACACCTCCATCTTTTTCTTTGCTATTTAATTATTTTATAAACTGTTCCTTATCAAACGTGCCTACATCAAATCATTTGAAAATGAGGCTCAAGTCACTGGAATTTTCTAGTTTTCTATCCATCATCGATCGCAGGTACTAACCTCTGAATGTACAGTGTGAAAAAAGATATCTCCTTGTATAGAAATACTATTTGTTATTTTGAGCAGTCAATTTTATTTTCTTTTCTACTATGAAAATAAATAATATGTAATCGTACTCTTTAATCCTGCGGCTTTCTGTTTCTCTTTCCCTTTTATATATTATCATTTTCATTTTGAAAGAATGGCAGAAATCGATTCTGACAAGATCAACAGCAGCAACCCACAAGTATAAAAAGATCTCTTCCAATATGATAGATGGACAGTTTAGATAGATACATGCCTTCAGATGTCTTGCCTCTTCATATGCTTTAACTATAATTGGACTCTTATGTATGGTACTCTTTCTTTATGCCTCTCTCTGCAACATCCTTTGTACCTTCCTTTATCCATTGTCTGTCTTCGTTTCTATCATTTATAAATATTATATATATATATATATATATATATATAAATGATCCTCAACTCATCATCTTTAATGGGTTTGTTGTCTTTCTCTACTTTTTCTCCAGGTTAATTATGATATTAAGCATCCAAATGGGCTGCTACTAACTGCAATTAATAATTAATCTAGAATTTATACATGTGAAGAGAGAGGTTTTATGCATATCTGAGTCTGACAAATATTTAGTTTTTTCAGTTTCTGTATGATTAAAGCAAAGATTTGGCTGTCGAATCAATGGCAACGTACTTTCATGGTAACCCAGAAATCCAAGCTTCTGATGGGATGCAAACCCTCTATCTTATGAACCCAAACTACGTACCCTACTCTGACACAACAATCCTCCTCAACCCAGCCGGCAACGCGCTAAACCCTTCTAACGTATCCCACGCACCGCCATCCAACAACCATCAACTTCCCCTTGTCGGTGTATCACTCCCTTCACCATCTCCCCACCTCTCTCAAACCAATTCTGAGGATGTCAACGACCGTTCATCTTTTCATGGCATCTTCTCTGGTGTCCACCCCGACTTATGGGCTTCGATCGAACAGAATTCAGCCCCTAACCACCCACAGATTGTCACTTTGGCCGCTCCAGGCGATGGTAGTCAAGTGGAGTTGCGGCGACCGGTGGCTTCTTCGTGCAGGCAAGGGTTGTCACTGAGCCTCTCTTCACAGCAAGGAGTTTATAATAGGCCAATAAATGTTGAAGTTGACATGCAAGGTCGAGGACAAGTTGGTCTAACGATGGTATCTGTGAATTCTCCATCTTCGGTTTCTGTTGTTTCGAATGGGATTTCAAGTACGCCAAGTGTTGTTTTGGGGTCTAAGTACTTGAAGGCTGCGCAAGAGCTTCTTGATGAAGTTGTTAATGTTGGGAATATGATGTCTTACTCACCAAAAGCGAGCAAAGAAAAGATGAAGTTAAGTAAAGAAACGACGGTTGTAACTGGAGAAGGGTCGTCGAATGGTAGTGAAAGTAGTAGTGCTAAGATTGCAGCTGAGTTAACAACAGCACAAAGACAAGAGCTTCAAATAAAGAAGGGAAAACTTGTTAGCATGCTTGATGAGGTACTTATATATATAACTTACATATCTAGATTCGATCTGTTGATCAATTCTTAAAATTATTAATGGATAATTCTGTGAAATGGCATGTTCTTTGAGAAAAAGAAATTTATAATGGGAATTGGGTTTCTCTCAAATGATTTGGATTTGAATTTCTGCATAGGAATGTCATGTCCTTAAAAGAATACAATTTTATTGAGATGTCTTCTCCACAAATCAGAGGAAGAAAAGAAAGTTCTTAATTGAAATATATATATAGATACAATATTATAAGATAGAGCAGGATTTGTTATATTAGTAAAACAAATTATTCCGAAGTACAAACTTAAAATAGTCGAACTCTCTATAAGAGTACTAACTATAGAGATACAAATGCACATAAACTAATTTTGCGTCCTTGTCATTGAAGGTTGAGCAACGATACAGGCAGTACCACCTCCAAATGCAATTAGCAGTGTCCTCATTCGAGCAGACGGCAGGTTTTGGTTCAGCAAAATCCTACACTTCTCTGGCTTTGCGGACAATCTCAAAGCAATTCCGGTGTCTTAAAGATGCAATTTCTGGACAAATCAAAGCCACAAGGAAGAAATTAGGTGAAGAAGATTTCTTAGGAGCAAAGTTTGAGAGCTTGAGACTCAAATATGTTGATCATCAAATTCGACAACAACGAGTTCTACAACAGTTAGGAATGATGCAGCATAATGCTTGGAGACCTCAGAGAGGGTTGCCTGAACGAGCCGTTTCAGTTCTTCGTGCTTGGCTCTTTGAACACTTCCTTCACCCGTAAGCTCTCTCAGTATTACATTATCATATACGGCAATGGAAGACCCTCCTTTAGTTCTGTATATTTACTTTCTTTGGAATATATATCATTTATAATTTTCCTTTTTTTTTTCTTTTTTGCGTGTGTGTGTGTGAAAGGTATCCTAAGGATTCAGATAAAGTCATTCTCGCAAAGCAAACAGGGCTTACCAGGAGCCAGGTGTGTGCATGCAGTGATTTACACATTGTTTTCCAGTTTGCGTTCAGTTTGCGTTCAGTTTGTGTTTCTATTTTTTTCTTTCCTTTTTTCAATCTGTGAAAACACCAATTAATATACGATTATAAAATATGAAATGCAGGTGTCTAATTGGTTTATAAATGCTCGAGTTCGCCTCTGGAAGCCAATGGTAGAAGAAATGTACTTGGAGGAAATGAAGGAACAAGAACAAAATGGTTTTGAGCAGAATGCAAGCAGAACCAAGCAGAAGGAGTCATTTAAACTGGAGCAAGTAAAAGCATTTCAAGATAAAGCAAAAAAATCAACCAACCAAAATGCTTCTCCTACTAAACTTTCAAACTCAACAATATCGGCGTCCCCCGTGGGAGGAACCCTTCACCCACAAACTGGATTCAATCTCATTGGATCATCTGACCTTGAAGGGGTTGTTCAAAGAAATGCAAAGAGACCAAGGAGTAGTCCTCATGACATGAATAACTCAATCGAAATGGAATTGAAACAAGGTAACCCAAGCAGGTATATAATTGGGAACAAATTTGGTGGTGAAAGGCTGAGCAAGGATGGGTACTCGTTAATAACAAGCACCACCAACCATGGCGGTGGACTTGGAGCTTATACAATGGGAGAGATGGAAAGGTTTAATCCAGATCAACTGGCTCCAAGATTTCATGGAAATGGTGTTTCACTCACTCTTGGCCTTCCCCATGGTGAAAACCTTTCTGTGTCAGGAAACCAACAAAATCTACTCTCCAATATTCAGTTGGGAAGAGGGCTCGAATTAGGAACAAGCGAACCTGATAATTTCTGTGGCATTAACTCACCACAACCTTCTCATTCGAATGCCGGTTTTGAAAACATTGATATTCAAAACAGAAAGAGGTTTTCTGCCCAAATGTTGCCAGATTTTGTGACCTAAAGGTTTCCATGCAGAGCGTCAACTTTCAACCTATATTTTAGCGTATCTCTCCTTTCAGTTTTTACATGCTGCACGGTAATTATATTTATGTTAAATGACTACTCAAATACAGGCCAAGATTATAGAAAAGATTTGGAGGATTCGTCTTCCCAAGTTCTGATAATTTTTAGGCTGCAGGCTGGCACGAGTGTAGGAGAAGGATGCTTTGAGAGTAAAGAAAGACAAACAGTAGTTTAGGTTTATACTTACTGAAGTATTTACATATATATAACTTAGTGGGCAAGTTTCATTAGAAGGTTGATATTATATATTTTAGTGATATCTTGTGGAATAGATTGTTTGAAGCATTCTAGGAATATAAAAATTCAGCAAGTACAAATATATATTTCGTAGAAGTAACGTACGGTTGATTTGATTTGTGTAACTGGTTATTTATACATGAACTGATTGTTTATATGCGCATTTATATACATACATGACAGATGAAGGAATCATTGAATCGAAAGTTATTCGGGTTAGAAGGGCTTAAATTACATAAATTTGAGAATGAGATAACGATGAAGAAAAATGATACAATAAAATCTTAGAGAATTCATATCTTTACTTTAAGAGTTTCCTAATGTGTCGTTTGTTAAAATCAAAAGTAGAGATAAAATATAAACGATTTGCTGAATAATATTTTATATTCATTCAATGGAAATGGTACAATTATATACACAAGTTGGTATTCTAAAACAGGAAAATAAATATCTTACAATATTCTACCTAGTCTAAAGTAGGGAGGTAAATATATTACAAATAATGATACTGATCACAAGAATATTTCTTAAACCCCCCTCAAGTTGACTGTGAATACCATGAAGTCCCAACTTGCCACTTAAGCGATGGAACTGCTCACTTTCCAAAGGTTTGGTGAAGATATTCGCAATTTGTGAACGTGATGGGACTTATGAAGTTGCTATTACTCCAGCTTGTATTTTCTCTCATCCAATGTGACAATCTATTTCAATATGTTTTGTGCCTTCGTGAAAAACATAATTTTGGCAATCTGAATGGTCCCTTGGTTCTCACAAAACAAAGAGGCCGACAGATTTTGTGTTGCTTTGAGATCTTGCAAGATATATCATGTCCACGTAATTTCCAAACACGTCGCAACCATAGCTTAATACCCTGCTTCAGCGGAAGACTGAGCCACATTGGTTTGTTTCTTTGATTTTTAGGAAATTATGGAATTTTATAAAAAGACACTAAATCCTGAAATAGAACGTCGGGGTCATTGTACAACCAACCTAATCTAAATCATAGTAAACCCTTAATGTGAGATCATTACAAGAAGGAAATAATAATCAATAACCAGGATTACCCTTAATAAATCGTAAAACTCTCAAGGCAGCTTCCCAATGTGGTTTTCGTAGAATTTGCATGAATTGACTTAGAATATGTATAGAATATACTATATCCGACCTTGTCACTATGAGGTAAATCAATCACCCTACCAACCTTCTATATTTGATGAGACCCTGCAATAAATCGCCATCCTTAGGATTTAATTTTAAATCGCTTTTTCGTTGTTGCTTATCACAATAATGTCATCCACATAAATACGCACTATAGTAAATGATCTCCCTAAGGATTTGGTGAATGAGGAGCAATCGGCCTTTTGATTGAGTGAAACCTGCTTTTTGAATGACATGAAGAAAGACATTTTGAACATCCATTTGATGGAGGATGTAATATACTATATAGCTAGTAATTCTTTGAGAAATATAAGATAAAATTCACTAAATAACTTTTATAAACATATATACATAATATGAAATCCGAAAATTCTAATTTTAATTCATATAAATATATACACAAAATACTGATATACTTTAGTAAGCACAAAGTAATCTTAAACAGTGCCGCCAAACTCCTCCACTTCTTGACGTCCCACCCAGTCGTAAATCATCTAGTACCTACAAAACAGTAAAATAACGGAGTGAGCACTAATTGCTCAGTAAGTAAACCAAACTGCACGACTGTTCTTCCTCCGTTACTCATCTTTTGATTTTTCCTTTTCTCACTTTATTCTTTGATAATATTCTTCATTCTTTTATGATATTGTGCATTCTTTTCTGATACTCCGATTTGCTACTTATCAACGTGCAAAGACAATGAATAAAATTGTACATCGTCGAGCACATAAGAAATGCTGAATCATGTAAGTAGCATAATACATACGCAGAATAATAAACTTTCTTGAGAAAAGAACTTTCTTTTCTTTTCTGTTTTTGTTTTTGTTTCTCTTATGTTGTATCTCTTTCTTTTCTTCTCTATTTCTCTTTCTTTTCTTTCTTCTTTTTGGTTTGCTGATCGGACTAGGTTGATGCATGGATTTGGAACCCTGGCCATGTGAGTGGGTATAGTCCTCATTTACATGCGCTACTGACGAACTGTACAAGTACTATATCTCTCTACTGTGGCCACTTGCTCATGGTGGCGTGCATGTAGGTATGCTCTACTGGGTACAGTCCTCATCCACATACACTACTCACGGACTGCACAAATACTGTATCTCTCTGCTGATGCCGTTTGCTCGTGGCGGCATGCATATGGGCATCTCTGTCACTCACGGGTTCCCTATCGCAAAAACCTTATAATAGCATGTTGTAGAAATAGAATAGAAATAAATACTATGCACATTTCAATATGAATTTCCAAGCTACGAAAATTCTACACTTGCATTCTTTAGTAAATGAGAAAATACACATACTTGCATGCTAGCTTAAAAGAAAATTATTAGTCATTTTCTTTTTTTTCTTTCTCATTCTTTGCTAACATATTCTTTCATATTCTCATTTACTAAATCAAGGCTATACATATATATATATCATGTATACAAAATGTGCATGATCAAGCCCATTCTTTAATATGCTTTTCAAATTCACATATACAAACTTGCAAATTCATTATGGCATAATGATATGTCACGACATATTCTACCATCCTCTACTATCACAATTGCCATATCAAAATAACACTTCAACTTGCAATTCCTTTCTAACACTTCCATGTGCTATTCAAAAAGTAGGAAATGTTCAAGTAACTAGAACCAAACACTAAGGGCAATTTCTCTCATGGAACTAACATGACCAAGTGATATTCTAAATTTTGGCAAAACAATATGCACCCTTGAGTGCTAACATTTACACTTGGTTAAGCCCATACATAATCTTCCTATTTCCATTCTTGCCTTTCTCTAACCCTTTCTTCATTAGGGTTTAGCCAACTCATGCATGCACTTTCTCTTTGGATTTTCATCAAACACTTCATATGCACATGCAACTACCATGTTGGCTACACTTCCACATCTCTCTAATTCCACCAAAATGTGAGCCCAAAACTCACTAATTGTAACATCAAACCTGTCCATTTTCAACAATTCTCAACACTTCAAAAATTTCAACACTAATTTTTCCATAACTTCACCAAATCATCACATAATCATACACTACTTCTCATGGCTGGAAATTACACATCATTCATCATCAAAAACAGCCAACAATTCTCACACACAATCACATAAAAACATGCAAGAATCATACTACACAAGTCTTGCTCAAATCAAGGCTAAAATTGGGGTTTAATTACCTTGAATGTATAAGATCACTTCTTTTTTGCTCTAAATCTCTTCCTCTTAGACCTAGATCATATAAAAACCATAAGAATTTAAAACTTTAAAATTTAATCACACTCCTTTTGCTAGAATCTTACCTTAGGATGCTTTAGGATTGAAAATCTCCAAAAATCCAAGCCAAATCCTATGATTTCCCTTTGAAATTTAGTGAAGAAAATTGAGAGAAAATGGGGGTAAAGGTGGCGTGAACAAGGGCTGAAGGTATGTTAGGGTTTCTTCAAATGAAGCCTCATATCAAATAATATAAGCATGTATTCCCATTTTGCCCTTGCACTTTCTATGAAATTTCATCTGTGTCCTTTAGTCAATTACTAAAATACCCTCATTTTTATTATCTTCTTCACATTATTTTGCTTCCTTTCACTTCCCACTTTTTCATCTAATTATGAGTGAAAAGACCATTTTACCCCTAATGAACTTTTAAGGAATTTTCTTCACATTTGTCTAAGGTAACTTCAAAGAAATCCAACTAAGGGTATTAAGGCATAAGTAAAATTACGTACCTTGATGTGGGTGTTACAAAGGAACCAATGGCATGAAGCGACAATGGATAAAAGGCAATGGACAGTGATGAGTTTGGCGGTAGGGGAAAAAGTTTCAAGATAATCAACTCCTTCAATCTAGGTACCTTATGCTCATTTATCTTTTGTGCTCATTTACCTTTTGTTTTGTTGTGTTATGTTTTGTGTTTTGTTTGTTTGTTGTTTTTCTTTCTGTGAGTTTTGTACCATATGCTCAGGGATGAGCATGCCTTTAGTTTGGGGGTATTTGATAATCCGTAGATTATACTATTTTTATTAGACTTTTTAGTCGGATTTCAGATACTTCTTAGCTCATTTTGACCTGAATTGCTACTTAATTCTTTATATTTTGAGTTTCAAGCTAAAATAAGTGAATTGGAGTTTTTGAACTCAGAAGTGAGCAGATCTCAGAAGTTGGGAAAGTTCTGAAGCAGAGTGGAGCACTATGAAGCTTGTTTCCATGAGGAGAGCATCGAAGATCAAAGATTCAAGCAAAGAAGCAAGCGGAGGGCAATTCTGTAAATTCAGAATTTCACATGAAGGTTCGCCGCGGCGAAGAGAGTTGCACACGAGAGTTTTATTTCACTTCATCGCCGCGGCAAGAATCCTTCTTTGCCGCGGCGAAGTCTGCGAATTCCAAAACGCATAGTTTCATTTTTAGGCATTTTCCTAGGTTTTTGGGCAAGGTATAAAAGCAAAACTTAGTCATTTTTGTTAGGGCATTCATTTTTAGTAGAGGGGAGCTATTTTCATTTTCTTAGGTTAAATTTGGGTGAACTTTGATTAAAAAGGGTGAAGATTCGAGATTGAAACCAGTGGATTCGTCATTTTGGGAGATCTCTTGTCTTTTCTCTTATTTTCATTATGTTGAACATTGGGTTTTTCGTTTCTTTTGTTTGTGTTGTTGATTTAGCTATGAACTAACCCATTTTGGGTTAGGGTTTTGATGTAATTCGGAATTCCATGGGTTAAGTAATTGATTGTTATTATTTTTATATGATTTTGCTTTG